AGTATAAATTAAGGTATTGTAGTGACTTGTAATGTATGTAAGACAAATTTTTTGTTAGCCTCATAATTAGTTGTTAATTATTATATGGGGGTCAATATAAGGAGGTAGTTTGGTTTCCGTTTCGCACGTGCCCTTAGACGGAAACCAAACGAGTTATGTATCCTTTCTCCTGTGCTCGTCAGTAAGGAGAGAGAAGGAATATGAGCTGTACAGGATAATTCTCAAAATTATGTATTTAATAAGACCATAACCCTTACTACTATAACCATAACCCTTATTTTAACATGAATATCGCTATTTATTTACTATTTGTTATTATCAATGTTATGGTTGCGGGTGTGTGGTGATTCTATCGTCGGGTCGTCGCGCCGGTGGGCGGAGCGAGGCGGCGTGGCGGCCGCCGCGTACGAGTTTTGTTGCGTGGCGTTCAAATTGTTAAAGGGTCCTTTAACAATTGCGTCGCTGCCCGGCGTGTGCGGCGTCGCCTTACTTGCCGACGATAGAATAGCCCTGGTGCCTATGATTGCGTTTCCCTTTTTTGTTAGCTCGGCTTAGTAGGGGTTTTTGCAGCACTTTGTTGGCTTTTTTTTTCGAGCACAGTCGATACCACCTGCGGAAACCTGTAACTTCCTATAAAGCTTTGCAGCAGCATGAGCTTCGAGGCGGGCAAGAGAATCGTAAACTGCCGCTTCGTCGCACGGCGCGAAGTTCCCTTAATTTGCACAGACCTTTCGATTAGAGCATCGGATTACATGTAGACAAGAGCATGGTGGATAGGTCTATTTTTCCTCATACATTGTTCGATCCCCTTAAGAACGTCGTCATCAGTGGGTGCGACTTTGCACGCGACCCCCTTTTCGCGGCGAAATACGATTCTCTTGCCACGTGCCAGCATGAGCTTCGATTACGTTTTCCAAGAAATTAAGTTCTAGCATCAGCTTTAAGAGTTCACAGTTTTTCTATGCTATTTTACTTCGTGACAATGCCAGGTCTCGCGTAACCAAGCGTACTAGCGAGGAAATTGTCGGAAGTCGCACATCCTTGCCCCACTTCCTCTCCATTTTCTTGACGTGGCCCTACCAGAACGTTGAGCGCTGAACCACACCGAGGTATAGTTGTGAAGCTAGCGAAAAATGAGTGAAGTTTTTCACGAGACTACTTCATACTTCAGCTTCATCCTTGAAGTTGTGCTGAATTAAGAGGATGCGGCATTTATGCAAGGAAAATCAAAAGTGAAGCCATTTTGAAGGGAAAATGTTTAAATTTCTAGGATGCGTAAATTGTTATGTTGTGCCACAGCTACATACAATAGTAATAAATAATACGGTTGTTTCTCAACACAAGTAGTCTAATTCTGACTGCTTTCTTCGAAATAGTTTTGGTCAGATACCGGTAATCATCGCAAAACTCCATAGTTGTCTTCTCTCCGCTCGCATGTGAAAGGACATCTTCTTTGTGAAAGTCATCGACTTGGGAAAGATCTCTGTACGGGCTCCCCTTATCGAGGGGTACTTGAACGATTAACTTAGTGGTCCTTAGGTGTCTTCCCTTTCTCGGACAGCTTTTTTTACGGCTGGGCGCAATTGTCGTCATAGGAGTAGGGGATGGGAGAGAGTAACATTTATCAGATTTCTATGAACACACCGGGCAACGTTGGGACCTGTATGTTACACAGCTAACTAGGAGCGGTTTCAGTTTTAACTTCGAACGTAAACGCTGCATGGTTGAACATGCAAAAAGGTTGAGACTTGGCGTTGGCCAATACAGGTGGAACGCGCCATGCACTTAGCCCACATTATGTAGCTAAAATGTCGTATGTGAGCGAGCTTGAGCTGCAATAAGCTCCTTAGGTTGCCAGCCGCTTTTGCTGTAAAACTGGAGGTCTTATGGGAGAGGGGAGGAGAGGGAGGGGGAAGCGCGGTTCATTCAGGTGAGGTACAATCATCTAATCGTAAGCTGCCTACACCATTTCCTGTACCGTGCTGATTTCACTCAATCAGTATCTGTTCTTTGGAAAAAAAATTGAAATTTTTCGATGAAGCTTCCTCAGATCATTTTGGTCACTTAGAGAGTCTACGAATTTACCACAGAATGTTACACGAATTTGCATATCCAGCGATAGGCTCGGATAGCACCAACGTCTGATGAACACTGCAGTTGCAGCTGATTGGGGGATTTCTTCCCGGGGACTACTTTGGCTGAAAAGGGAATAGTGCAACCTCTACTGTTACAGGG